ATTTTTTCCTTATGCTAAATTTCCAGAGATAATGCTTGTTTAATGAATAAAGGAATGGATAAATGAATCAGGAAGAATTTAATAGTACATTCAAATAACTTCCAAAGATTGAATAAATTTCTTTAGTTGCTCAAAGGAAAAATTTGGATTTCCTTATCTTTATAAAAAAATCTCCGAAAACAATTTTGTGTGCATATGCACTTTAAAAATGTATATATATGCATCAGGGGCTTCCTAATTCTGGTCCATATGATAATATAATGTCCCCAATTAGGGCTTTGGGCATGGGCCAGTGACATGGGTCTTGTTTACAATTCCAGTGACACCATCTCTCTCAGGTTTTGTTAGAGTTAATGGATTACTTATTAGGGCAAAGGCCCCAAATGCCACCTTCCTCTCCTACTCTGCTTTCCATAATAAAACACCTCACCTAGATAAAGTGAAAAATGGTGATGCTTTTCACTGGATACTAAAACTCTTCCTTCGTGTGTTTGTTGAGTCCCTGCTTATGTTGCAAGTGTGTGCTAGTTTCTGTAGCTGCCTGAGCAGTATTTGATAAAGACTTTGCAGGCTATTGGTGGTCCAGAAACTATGCTGAATAATAGGTAAATAAAAGGCCTTTAATTATTTCCAAAATTTTAATTAAAACCAGAATCATTCTTCTTATTGACCAGGACAATTTTCAGGGGAGACTGTGCGATACTGAGAGCTTGGTCTCTGTCCACATGTGGAAAATTTATGCTGGACAGTGTTTGCAAAATGATAAAGCATTGTTTGGCTCCATTGATGAGCTATATTTTTGTCCCTATAGAAAATTAAATAGATCGTTTTTCTGTTTTGCTCTATTAATAAGCTGTATTTTCTATTCCTAGCGAAAACTAAATAGAACAATTACATTCAGGAACAGGAGTAGAAATCCTTTATGTGTTGTTTGAGCTCTGCTGGCCACAAGTAACAGTGCTTTGGGGAACTCATTTCATGCCTTCGATTTGAGGACTTATTCTCTAAAACAAGTATCTTGGATGTGTTATTAAGTTAGAACTTTAAAAGGTCATAAAAAATAAAATTGCCTTTACTCTGGAACTATTAACTTTAAAATTCATGTGTATACTAAGTATGTTTTCTTTTCCAAATTGCATCTGTGGTAGGATAATGATATTTGTTTCCCTTTTAAAGGTTTTTTTTTTTTTTTTACACGAATAGTAGTTAGAATGGTTTATCATTTACTGATTAGGAAAGAGTGAACAACAGACCTGCAATTTTTGGGTTAGCTCACAAGTCACTTTTTACCTTAAACAGATCATGTTATTATGCTCATTTTACATGTGAAGTAGTCAAAGTTTATATTTTCTACTATTAAGTCTTTATCATATATATATAAAACAGAAAAGAGTACTGGAGCTTTTAAAAATACCTATTTCAAGATATGATTATTTAGATTATTTTAAATATATATACACACCTATAGATTGTTTTTTCTAGTATATATTTTTAAAAATAGTTGGAATAAGAGATAACCACTGTACTTGATTTCTGTTTTACTTGTAGCTGAATCAATTTGCCTCTGTTTTTAGGTTACTGTTCTTTCTCCCCATAATAAACTGTTATTGTATGTGACATCCAATATTTCTATTTGGTTATTTCTGTGAGTTTGTCTTCTAGGTACAATTCCAGCAATTTTTGAAGTAAGGGAATATATCTTTAATATTTATTGTATTTTCTGTAGTACTTAGTTTGGTCTTGGCCGTAGGTTATTTGCTTGAAAAATACGTGTAGATTTGCACTGAAGTTTAAAGAGAATTGCTATTTTCTAGTTTGAAAAAGACGAGCCTGAAATGTCATTTTAAGAGTCTAGCTGGCTGTTCAGTATGGGTCTCAGAATGCCAATTGACGGTAAAACCTACATCAGCCAATAAAACCATGATATTCATTTTGGCTTCTCAGTAACTACTATATGGTAAACAATCTTGAAATTGGAAGGTGGCTTGTTGAGCATAAAATCAGAGCAGGCAGGGTTATCAGATGAGCTGACTGACTATTGTCATAAAGGGAGGTAGCTTGGTGCCTCAGTCTCAGTTACAAGGGACTAATATCCTTGAGGATTGAATAGGAGGCAGGGAATCCTTTATCTTGGGTGATCCTCGAAGGGTGTTGCTAAATTCTTGCTTATCTACCCTCTTATTTTAGTCTTCATGTGTAATATTCTTGTTCCATTAACACAATATTTCTTCATACAGGTTTAATTGGCTGGGCCTCAGCTTTAGTTAGGCTATTTCAGTCATCCCCTTTTAAGTCCATAGTTCAGGAATTTTAATCAAAATTTGAGCATGAGTGGTTACTAGAACAACTCAGGCAATATATAGGTTGTAATTTTGATTAGGTATTTCTTCAGGTAATTTTCCTAACTCATACACTGTATTTTTCCAGAATTTCTTTTCAAGAATTTGTTCTCGTCCATGTTTTGGCTACATCTAAATTTGCAGAACGGAAATACACATTCAGGATTTTTAACCTAGTCTTGATGTTCAACATCATATTATAAAAGTGTAGGCATAAAGTTATAGGCATCCTAGTTCAAGCAAATGATAACCCCATGGAGGGAAGAGTGGTCTTCCCATATACAAGCTGGTGATGTAGGGGTGTGTGTATCTTTTTTTCAAAGTGCATCATGTATAAAATAAAGATATTTTTCTGTAAGTATAGTAGGTTTGGTCTCACTTTCTGGTTCTCTCTCCTTGTTCTGTAAGCAGCATCTCTCTTTATACTAGTCTATGAACAGGAATTTATTTTATTTTATATTCTTGTGTCTCAACTAATAGGTAAAATTGGAAGCCTTTCACCATTTCTAACAGTTGTAAGAAAACAACTTACATTGTGTCATTTCTTCTGGACCTCTCCACACAATGTAGTATCTTTTAAAGAACAGGGTAGTCAGATTTAGAAGGGTTGGCGCCATTAGATTATTCCAACTTTCCAATCATATATGTTTGAGTAAAGTTGTCTTCTGGGAATTAAATCTAATCAGAGATAGAATATGACCAAAGTATAGATGAAATAGTTGTCACACAGAAATGCAAAGTTAAATTGTATATTTTAGGGATATTATGAAGAGTTTATAGAGTTGCATTTCTCATCATAGAAAGAGCTTTTTGTGTGTGTTTGCTTGTTTTATTTTTGACCTTACCTTATGTGTTATGGATCATACTGGCTGGAAGAAACAATGTCAACATGACAAGTGAAATCTGTGATTAAGAATATTAATCTCTGTCTATTGTTGATAGAAATCCTTTATTTTATATTTGTGGTTCAAAATTGTAGTTTATTTTTTACATGACTAAGGCATTAACATTATATTATTTTCTTTTAAATATGTATATAGCATAGCTTTTGAGTTCTATTCACACTGCAATATTTTGTACTGTTGTCTCTCCTTGATTTTTTTGTGAACTCTGAAAGAAACAGCTTAATTAATATTTTCTTAGGACACTTAATGAGCGAAATCTGGAGCCACAGGAAGGGTTGGAACATTTCCTCTTATATGGTAACTACCTTTGTAAATGTAATATTGCAATAATTTCTCAAATAGAAATGTTTTAATTTACTGTTTGCCAGCCATTGCTGGAGTCATGGTGTCTGCTCAGGGGACAGAAAGGATTATTATGATTTGATTACTGACTAGTGGTCTTTGAATCTGACTTAATTCCAAATATAAATGTGTCTGATGTTTTCTTTCTATGAATATTTCAAGACATGATTTCATTTTATTGTCTGTGCTGCAATGTTCTGTTGAATATGTTTTTATTTTTTCGGTGTCCAGTGTGGTTCAATGGAAACAATAACTTTTGAGAACCTGAGATAAGAGAGGGCGGTGAGCTTGATATGAAAAAAAGCACTTTTCAAATACCAAGGGCAGTAGAGATAAATGCACATGAATAGTAGGCCTGGTGGAGAAATGAGACAGCTGGAACACGAGACTTTTATTATAAGTATTAAACATAGAAATGTAATTCAGGTATTACAAATTATTACTAATTAATGGAGGATGAATAGGAAGCACAAATTTGAACTTTTGGAACCCTTAAGTTATAATTCTAGGTAACCAAGATTTTCAGAAAAGGTTATAGCTTCAAATCATCACATTAAAAGGGAGTCAGTTTTAGATGGGGAATTTTTCTAATAATTGCCTGCCTTATGAATCAGGGCATACTGAACTTAGTTTAACATTTTATGATTACACAAGGTTATTATTATGAATATAAAGTATAGGATTGCCTTACTACAATGGAGGGTAACTTAATACCCAATACCAGAGGAATCCATACTTTCCTACATTCTGATTTTCCATTGTTACACTGTTGTAGATGGAGAAATATCTGTAAAAAAAAAAAATAGGTGCTAGAAATGGCCTTTTCTACCATTTTAATCTTTTCCTCTAGTGAAAAGAATCTTCATGCAAGATCTGTTGTTCATCTTAAATTCCCCAGCTGTCTTAGCAATATGAAAATCATCAGGGTTGATGTAACACAAATGTTAATTGGTTGTGCTTCACTATTGCATTCTAATTGTATGGACTAATATGATCAAGTGCTCTGAATTCCAAACAACTCTGCATTAGTAACAACTCACAACTCAGTTTAAGAAGCATTTCTGGACATCTTTATATGCTTGATGAATGGTTAAGAAGAAACCCAAAACTGTTAATTTTCTCAAAGAGGTCTTAACCTTCGAATGTGGAGAGTCATGTTATTTGGTCAACTTCAATGCAAGTTTGAGGAAATAAAACTGCCCCCTCCTTCCTGTAGTCCAGTGATGTTCAGTCTGAATAAATACAAGCAAACCTTTAGCAAATTTTTATTTAGTCATATATTTATGTGTATGTGTATATATGTATGTATATACATATGCACATTTGTGTATGTTTATATACATTGTGCTATATTTATATGAATATAAATATTTTGGCATTATAGTCATGTAACATTTTCTGTTTCATTTGACAGAAATCTTCTTGACAGAGACACATTTTCTAAATCTGATCCAAGTAAGTATGTATTACTTGCTTTTTGAAACAGCCTACTTTTTGTTCTTATTTGATTTTGCCAAAATTGTATGAAAATCATAGTTCTTGTTTAAACATCTGTTTTGAAGCCTAGAAAGCAAGAGGGGAATGGCTCAATCCCTGCATGGTCACCTACTGGGCCATTCTAGGGTCAAAGGGGGACATGCTAAGCACTTCGAGAGTAAGATAAAAATGCAGATGACTCTAGTATAAGATAGTTCACTTTGAAATTCAAACCTCATGATATGGCCATATGGTAGAAATTATATTTGAAAGACAATCATAATAGGCCATAATTTTAAGTGATTTAGTCACAGATTAATACTTTTATTTTTTAAAATAAAAATGGCCTATAAAAAGGCATACTCAACTAAGTGAAATATATAACATCTTCTGCTATGAGCTGAATTTTTTGGTTCCTAATTAGAGATATTGAAAATTGGAGATAAACTGTGAAGTGAAAAGGGTAGTTTGGATTATAAAACAGCAGAATTCATGATATAAATCAATCAGTGTTTCCAAATCTTGTAATATTTAGAACTTGGTATCTAGCAGGTCTCCATCTCTACAAATACGTGAACAAATGTGGTTTAATTATGGGGGAAAGGTTTTTGTCAGTTGTTAGAAATTCTTCAGGTAGTCATTGGGGGAAAAGGCATTATAATTTGTGGGGATTAAAAACTCCTGGGGCTCAGGAGTTGGGCAGGGTGGGACTCTTGTTAGCCCTTAATCTTTATCCAAAGCCCTAATCTTCCTTTTTGGGACTTCATTACTAAATTGACAGGATTTCTTACCTGTTTACAAATATTGAATAGGGGTTGTAAATATTAAATGTAGAGTTTACATTTACATAGGTTGTCCTTCCTGTGATGGCTTTGAGCACCGTAAACATCTTAAGAAGAGCTTGACTCTTATCTGGTAACATACTGAAATATTTCAAATTGTAAACTATAGTTTTAAAATTTATCTACATCTGTAGTATAATGTAGATGAAGACATTAACATATACTTATTATATTTTTATGTGATAAGCTCTCTGCATATTAAGTTCTAAAGATCAGATATAGCTCATTTTCTGTTTACTTAAATAATTTTTAATCATTTGATGATTTACTAGCAATTTTCTTGCAATGGTAAGGCTAAGAATTAGGCACTTAATTTTCACATAGCTTTTGGACAGCTGAAAAATAAATTGTATACATTCATATCTGATATTCATAGAAGACATTTATATGTGTGTATATTTTTTCATCTTTTGTAGTTTGTGTCTTATATGTACAAGGAGTTGGAAATAAAGAATGGAGAGAGGTAAGATTCATTTTCTTTTTCATCATTGGGCTGAAGATGTAATGTAAGTTATAATTTGATCAAGATGATACTTTCCTAGTTTTAGTTATTTTAAGTTTTATTCAATCTAAAGATTCAGTTTCTTTTTTATCTTATGAAAGTTATCTTTGGGTTTTGTTTTTAATAATAGCAAATGTTTTGCTGACTTATGACCTTCTTGGGGACTATTCTGGGCCTGAAAATTTTACTTTTCTTAGCAAAACACAAATTTAATGTGTTGCAATCTATTTGACATGATTCTTTGTATAATGTAAGTTTGTGGATTTAGTCTTACTTTTAGAAGTCAACTGCTGATTTTTATGAAATGCCACTTTAAAAGATTTTAATTATGGTGCTTGATATCAAATATCATCTGCTTTTTGTAACTTATTTGAAAATAAAATAGAAACGGTATCCTAATGCAAATACACGTTGTTTAATGAAGCAAAAGCTAGGAGGATGAATTGTTATTTTAACTAATTTATTTTCTAGAGTATCTCCATATTCAAATAAATGAATGATCGCTGGAAAGTGGGGGTCATATTAAAATAGAAGGCTTTTCCATCTGCCTGTAGTTGTGGTTATCTCAGGGAGTTAGTGCATTGTTTTGATGGGGTTACAGTCTCTGGCTAGATTTCCCTAGTGAGATTTTTGCTGTTTGTTGCCACAGATTGCACTGTGCTAGTCATTTGACCAATGTGTTTCAATTGTAAGGAGAGGGTAAGGATAAATCATTTAATTTATTCTCAAAACTGGGAGAAAAACATTCGAAAATTTTCCCTACTGATAATGGGTCAGTGATCAGTAGGGTACAAAAGCAGCAATTTTTCATATCAAATTGCTTCTGCACATTTCCATTTTGAATTCAATTTTTGTCTCAATTCTATAGATCCCAATGTAAACTCATTGTCTTTACCCTATGCCTGCTCCTTCTTTGCTCCAAATATGGCCAATAACATCACCAGCCAAAATATAAAACTGCAATTTTTGCGGTCATCCTGACCTTCATAATTTAATCAGTTATCCAAGGCTATGAATTCTTTCTCATAAAAAAATGCAACAACTCTCCAATAAGCCACCTCCTTTATTCAGACCCATGTTATCTTTTGCCTCTTCTGTTGCCACAGTCTCCTGGATGAATCTGTGCCCCTTTCTCTCTCTTGTGCATCTCTCTCTCTTATTCATTTCTTTGATTATCTTCCTAAGAGACATGTTGTTTCTTGTCACTCGTTCTCGAGTTCCCTTTCTCAAGGGCCTGGGACAGTCCAGTGGAGCTGTTGAGTGACTGTAGGTGCCAGCATAGATGGGGCTGAGCATTGACCATCCAGAAAAATATGACATTACTTCAGGGATCAGTAAAGTAACTAAGATAAATTACCTAAATTACAGTCCCAGGAATCTGGGCCAATGCAAAGCCTCAGTGATGAGACAATTGAAATTTCACTGAATAAGGGGAGTTTGAAGAAGGAGAATAGAAAGTATTGAACTGAACCAGGGTGCTGGGAGTTCATTCTTACTGGGTGCTGACCAAGTGGCATTGGTTAGTTAGATTAAGGGCAGGCTCAGCTCAAAATCTCCCTCCCTGGCCGGGCGCAGTGGCTCACGCCTGTAAGCCTAGCTCTCTGGGAGGCCGAGGTGGGCGGATTGCTCGAGGTCAGGAGTTCTAAACCAGCCTGAGCAAGAGCGAGACGCCGTCTCTACTATAAATAGAAAGAAATTAATTGGCCAACTAATATATATATATTATATATATATATATATATACAATTAGCTGGGCATGGTGGGAATGCCTGTAGTCCCAGCTACTTGGGAGGCTGAGGCAGGAGGATTGCTTGAGCCCAGGAGTTTGAGGTTGCTGTGAGCTAGACTGACTCCACGGCACTCACTCTAGCCTGGGCAATAAAGTGAGACTCTGTCTCAAAAAAAAAAAAAAACTCCCTCCCTTAAAAAAAATTCTCATACTTTTCTATTGCTCAAGCAATGAAATATAAATTTATTTAATTTCAATATTTTTATAATAATGGCTAATGACTGTTCCAAGCCCTTTATATATGTTAATGAATTTAGTTTTCATAGCAACACAAAGAGGTAGGTGCTATTATATAAGCCTTATATTATGCATGAGGAAAATGAAGCACAGAAAGATTAAGTGATTTGACTAAAGTTACCCAGTTGTAAATGAAGGAGTGGGGATTTCTACCCAGACCATCTGGCTCCAGAGCCCTTACTAGTCCATCACCTTGCTATGCAGAATTCTTACCTGATCCCACCTTCACATTCTTCTTTTATAAATGGAAAGAAATTTTATAAATCGATCTTAGGGGCTATATTATTTTCTTAAGCTTGACTTTGAAAGAGAGACAAGTAGAAAGAGGAATCCTATTTAGGGAAAATGACATAATATTAAACAAAATAGAGAAAAAACAATATTTTGTTTATTTTTAATTTTTAAAGGAGTAGAAAGCATTGGTAATAACTAATAGTACTCAAGAAGGTTATGAAAACAAAATAAAAATGGAGAAGGTGATGATAATAGAACCCAGAGTTACACAGAGTGGGTGGGAGCAGACAGATCAAGATGGGGAAATAGCAGTTAAAAGGCAATTTCAGTGGACAGAGTTTCAAGAGTTAAAAGTGTTGAAGAATAAGAGAATGGTTTGGAAGAATAGAAGGGAAGTGTCAGGTGCAAGAGACAAGAGTTCTGGAGCATTTAGCAACTAATTGAGCTTGCTGGACAAAGGAAAGGGGTCAAAAAATGAAATACAGTGTATGTGTTACTAATCTTCACAATACCATTTGAAAAAGATAGCTTCTTTATTTTGAGAGCCTGTATAATGTAGTGGTTAAGGGCATGCATGCACTTGATCTTTCAGTGGCTCTGTTTCCTCATCCATAATATGAGGAATGAAGATAATGGTTCTAGCTCATATGGTTGTTATGAGGGTTAAATGTGAACCAGTGATAACAGTATCTGGGCACATAGGAAGCACTATATAATTAAGGATACATTGGGATTCTAAGAGATTAAACAACTTGTATAAGGATAACAAAACTAGCAAGTAGCGGGCAAGTATATTCGTGCATTATAAAATTCTGTAAAATGCTTTGCATAGGCCCAGCAGTTGATGGGAAAACGACCTATGGGATTTCCTTGGCCTCAAACCTAATCTGAAGCTGTAATGTTACACAGCTGCTAAAAAGCTAATGCAATCTGAGGATGTGTTGATGGATGTGCAGTGCTTACATCAAGTAAGATAATGCTATTATGTGGAACCATATGAAATTGTTACTTTTTGTAGGTCAAAAATGGTTGAGTGTTGGGAATTTCATGTGATTCAACTTAATACTATTGTATTTTGCTCTGATGGAGTACATTTGGAACATTACTTTTAAAGTCTACATTTTAAATATTAAAAATCTAAGTCTGTATTTGAGGAGGGCTACCATCTTGAAGAAAGGTATAGAAGCTTATGCCATACTAAGAAGAGAATATTTATCTGAAAAGTGCAAAAACTCTGAATAGTTCACAGTACTTGTCTTGAGACTCTTAAAATATTTTTCATTTAGAAATGGGGATATTGTTCAGTAGGAAACAAAACATTGAACCCAAAGGTTGAAGAGACAAAGAGGCAGTATTAAGTCCACTGTGAGAAAGACCTCTGTAACACTTGAGTATCCCACAGTATTAGGTTTCCTGGAACTGTATCCTGAAATGATAATGTATTTCTTGATCCTGGAAGTATTCAAATGGGCTGCACTGATTCATCAGGAAAGAAGTTGGATTTGATAGGCTCTAATTTTCTTGCAAGTTTGTGATTTTTATGATACTATGGAGTTAAAAAAGAGTATTCCAATTATTTTATCAATTCTTCCAAATATCTTTTAAGTATTGAACATTATTTGAAAAGGATGAAAAATAGCAAAACCACTCTGATAATTACTGTCAGGGTTACTTGAAATCAGATAAGAAAAATATAGACACCTTATTTCTAATTTTAAATATATCCATTCTTTTATCAATTTGGCTAATATTTATTGGGTGCCTATTTTGTAACTGCAGTGGTAGATAAAATTTAAAAATAGACAGTGTTCCTACCTCAGGGATCATGCAATATAATTGGAGAGTTTTCTCTCCAATTTTGGTACATTTGTACAATCAGTTTACTGCTGTAGGTATCAGCACTATCCCAACAATATAGTGGTTGTATTTGTATTTGAATTCAGTTATAATTTGGAAAAGTATGTAGTAACTAGCTGTATGATTTTATGTTCTGAGATGAATTATTATTAGATAGCAACAGGAAATAAGTTAAAAAGAGCTTTAAAATATGTTGAAACAAATGCTCCAAATAAAGCACTAGAAAAATTATTTAAAATTATTCTGTAGTTGAAACCTGCAATTTAAAAATTGTATCTGACACTATTAGAATTACCACTATATCTCCAATAAATCTATCTAATGATTGTGAGTTATGAAAAACTATTGAAGTAACAGATCTTTAAAACTAAAATGATTTTTCAGTGCATAATAACTTTGGAGCTGGAAATGATACTTAAGTGCCATGAATTATGAAAATATGCAAACCTCTTGGTGGCAAGCAGAAATATCAAAGTAACATCTCTAAGGAATCATACTTTGAGAGTTCTGAAAATGTTGCAATTAACTTCTCTGAGTTAGATTGTAGTTATCCATAGGTAATTCATTCTATGAATTACTTTTAAACATTTAAAATTGTAAAGGTGGTTCCAGATTCCCTAAGTGAGTGTGTGATGGAAGAAGGCAAGCTGAAGTTGTTTATGAACCACAGTGATTGTAGTTTAGAGGCAAACAAATCTGCATTCAAATGCTGATTGCTACAATTTGAAATTGTCTCTGCTCCATTCCATTGACATTGTGCTATTTTAATATTTACTCATTTCCATACTGCATACTACCTGTTTTATGTATAATACACACATAAACACGAATACACATTTTATAC